AGTGTGAACTACAGACAGAGTCGTTAAATAAACTACAAATAAATAAATAAATAAATATATGATTAAACTGTGTATGTCACAAATACTAATTCGTCAAACACTATCCCCAGGTACAATAATTATACCTTCGATATCACGAACACACAAGTCTGTACTGAACAGAACAGAGGCGAGTAACGAGTTCTTGTAAACACGTAACTCAACCTTCGCGTTACATATAAAGTGGGGACTTAGTCTTTCGCCTTTACCAAAACAGAATGTTGCAGTTTGCATTTCACTTAATATAAATATATAAACGATTTCTGTTAACAAAACACGCTCGGAGTGCCGTCCATTGTCAGTGGAAATTCATGTTTTATGTTCAGTGAGATAAAAAGTAAAATGTTTTACATTTGGATACGGTTCTAAGTGTGTCACCCTGTAGAATCCAACTACATTATTTATGGACACGCCTTCGAATGACACTCTTCCCTGCAAACGACATATAACTAGCGAAACATGACTGATCTTAATTACTGGAACTCTTGAGCAATACACTATGCAAATCAAACAGGCTATAAGGAATAGATATGTTGGCTGTCTTGTAGACTGAACTACACGTAGAATCAAACAATAGGTATATCAGGATTTGTGAGCACAATGTTCATGCTGTCGAATTGAGATTAATGACCTGACAGTTCTCGTACAATACATTTTCGTAATTAGAAGATCTAAAAGGCCAACATGCCAACGGAAAAGCAAAGATTTTAAGTGAACCGAAATTCCTTCATGATATTTTGATCTTGCCTTTTCCAGAATTCCTTTATCACATTTCGACTTTGTCTTTTCGGGCCCTTACCGCATCTGGTCATGTTTGAAGTAACATGTGGAACTCTGAAAATGTGGACGGAACTTTCATTCTGCGGGCAACGGAACAAGACAGGGAGACTTGGATCCTTGGTGTAAATGGCGGAAAACTAAAGATTGCTCACACCTGTCTGCTATGTTATTATGTATTGTGGACAGGTTAAAAAAGTATATTTTATAAACCAGATGTCTGCTGCCACACTTCCATTTTCCTTTCTCTCTGTTTGTGCTGCAAAGTCACAAGGCACCTGGGCAAGACTTTTCTCCCTAAAATGCAATGTGTAGTTGAAGTACAATTAAAGAAGAAGTCAGTTACAAACGGAAATAATAAACACATACTAAGAATCACACGTAGCAACGGCTCTTTCTGTCAAAGAGGGCACACGGTAATGTAGTTGGTTGAGGCACTATGCTACAAGCCGGAAGGTCGCGGGATTGAATCCCGATGAGGTGGATTTTTTCAATTTACCTAATCCTTCCAGCACTATAGCCCTGGCGTCGACTCAGCCTCTTAACAGAAATGAGTACCAGAAATATTCTTGAAATATTATTGGGGCTAAAGGGCGGCCTGCGAATAGGGCTGAAAACCTCACCGTCATCTATGAGCCGTCTGTCTAGAGAAAACTTGGGAACCTCATCTCACAATCCTATGGGCCTCCACGGCCTGTTACCTTTACTTTACTTTACTTTACTTACTTTAAGGTAAACAAATCAAATTTCGTGATATTTCATAGCACAACATTATTCGCTACGAAATCAGCATGTGTTCCACAGACAGTGTGAGCGTTCTCCACAGATGGCACCACTATGATGCTGTCGATTTTAACTCAGTCCATCGCGGGTTCCAATCACGCTAAAGGTATGAACGTTTAAACACGCTTTCCGTAACCACCACCGACACCAGACTTCCCAATGCAACGTGTTCAGCTTTACGAACATATGTGCCATAGTAGTCGTATTACATTGGTGATTATAAAGGTTATTCAGAATTACTGGGGTTTTGGACTTTTTTATATTTTCTAGAATACCGGACAATGGAAAAAGTCCAAAAACCCAATAACCCTGAGTATTATACGCCATCGTCAGAACCCTTTAGAATCTACATTAAGGTTGTTGTTTTCTGAGATGTGACGCCGTGTAGTCAGGAAGAACATTCCATCATATATGGCGTCAAATCCTAGAAGAAAGCAATCTTTCTATATTTGCTTATTTTATTGTCATTATTGATGCTGTTCTATTATAGTTATTATTTATATTTATATCTCGTTATACTTTAGTGCTTGCCTGTAATTGACTTCATCAGTCAAGCACCTAAACAAATTAACCGAATATAAATTGTTGTTATTATTGTCGTTATCATAATAATTATTATAATTATCTCTCTAAAATGTATCTAAATACGCACAGTCTATTACTGCGACTCTAGAACTCTTTTAATATGAGGCTCTCTTGAGGTGAATAGAACAATTTGAGCCTCCCCATCATCCCAACCTAAAATGACGACTTAAAATGTGCTTTGCTGATTATAACAAAATAATGTCGATCAATGAACCTTAATGCGATCTATCAAGTAGTACTGTGTTTCTTACATTGAATATTTGTAATTTAATGCGGCATTTTCACATTAAATTAAGTGAGAACCTTTTGTTTTCGGTACATTTTTTGGTAACCCCCCAGAATAGCTTCACGGCACCCTAGAACACCACGTCTCCGAATTTATGGAATGCAAGACAACACCGCCAAAACAAATACCTCACTTTATTCCTACCTTAAGCCACGCCAATCTAATTCCTACCAATATGACTGATATACAAATTACACCTCCCCCAAACTTCGAACTGATTTTTCAACTAGAATCATTAACATAAGGACGATTCTAGAATCACGGAACTTATCATTAAAGAGCTTAGAGTGTTTGTCGTTAATATTGCATCTCTTGGATCCGAACCGATTAAGTATCATTTTCGTTCCAAACTTTAAATCCAGTTTCTTCTTCAAACGAGCATATCATGATTATTATTATTGTGGCTTATAGACCCGTTACTATGCAACAGGTGATCAAACAAACTCCTGTTTCTATGCAACGGTCGATGTATTGTTGGACTATAACAATGGGAATGGTGTTTTCTAAGAGGTTCGTCCCGAAATGTTGTAAGCAGCAGTCAGTTTAGGAAGTCATCAGCAGTTCAGTTCAGTTCAGTGAAGTAGCTCGTTGGTGAGTGAGAGAGTTCAGTTTGAAGTCAGTTTGTGAAGGGAAGACTAGGAGGTTGATATGAAACGGCCGCCAGCCTGGGACCCAGTCACTTGATTTGTAAGTTGACAGGAGCTCTATACGAGCGGCTGTGACATGAAGACATGAGCGGGAAGCTGAAGAATCTCCCTCGGTAGAAGCCGTTGCCAGGAAACGACTCATGGAGATTTAATAGACTGAGAACACTAGACTGTGTCAGTGATCTGTAAAGTGTAGTTCCGAGTGGTTTATACAAGTCAATAAATCCAATATCCAATTCATACCCCGTCCATAGTCACATACCCCTAAATAGTGGCATTATTATCATCCTAATCATCATCACCATCGCCAGTATCATATTTACGTCGTCATTACCGACATTTTTGTCTTTTTGTGGTATATTTTACGGTTCTGTCTAGCCTATGTAGCGTGTAGCGGTAGGATAAATACTGAATAATAAATCAGAAAAGGCTTAGCTTAGAAGAAAGTGATCGTGGACGATTCGAGCACCATCAGAATAAAACCTACAGCGCTACTGCTACAGTGACCTGCTCGGTTGCATTCTTACTGCTGTGAACAGCCTAAATAAATCAGTGCAACTGAAATGAATTAATGTCATACGCAGCAGTAGTCAATCTTCTGTTCTTATGAGTATTAATGGAACACTTTCATTTTCGTCTCTTGTGAAGCCTGGAGATCCACAAGAATCGATTTACGACCCTTATTTTTAATACAATCATCAATTGTATGAAGTTCTATTCATGATATAACAACCTCTTCATATGAATATTATGTCGGACATATTCCATTAACTCACGTATATTTGATATGCACAAGGGTTTACAGAGCTGGCTCTACTGTCCTCTTCAGGTGATTGGTTGCTCTTATACGGGTAGAACTGCTGGGCTTTGTATTATTGTGACATCACTGGCAATAGTTGGGATCACTCATTTCACTATACACTCGTCATTATCAGTGTCTGCTGTATATATTTCCCAAGACGTTCAATTCAGTAATCTCACAAAACTCTGTACACTTTACACGCTACTCTGTTTATATAACAACACATGCGCTTAAACACCGAATGCCACCAACAGTGCCTTACTTACTTACTTACTTACTCATGGAGCTGAGCCCTTATTGAGGAGCGGCCAATTCTGCAGCTACTCAAGAATTTCCCAGCATTTTATGGAAACCGAAGGTTCACTACCGTGTTCACAAAAGCCCTCCACTGGTCCTATCCTGAACCGGATCCTTACCATCCCATCCTATCTCTCTAAGATCCATTCTAAGCCAACAGTGCCTTGGTAGAGTTAAACATTTATACGCTGTGTGTAAAGTATACATAGATTTGTAAGATTAATACTGCCTTACTTACTTACTTACTTACTTACTTACTTACTTACTCATGGAGATGAGCCCTTCTTGAGAAGAGGCCAATTCTGCAGCTACTCAAGAATTTCCCAGCATTTTATGGAACCCGAAGGTTCACTACCGTGTTCACAAGAGCCCTCCACTGGTCCTATCCTGAGCCGGATCCTTACCATTCCATGCTATCCCTCTAAATCCATTCTAAGCTAACAGTGCCTTGGTAGAGTTAAACATTTATACGCTGTGTGTAAAGTATACATAGATTTGTAAGATTAATACTGTAAGAGTAAATTATAGCTGTCATCTAAGTTAAGTATAAATATTACTTACTGGTAGAATGTTATTAAACAATAATCTTCAGACAGTAGTTTGATTTCCTTCGCAGTCTAGTGTTATCTCGGAATGAATATCTCACAGTTCTCACTGGGTTATTCTCCTGTAACCTTCTTCTGTAGATGTGAATATTTATTGCGGTACTTCCTGGAATGTGTGCAGGACATTTTAAAGGCTTCTCTCATTTTAATGAGGCAGAGTGGAATTTGAATACACTGACCGTTTGCTGTCTCCTATAAAAATATGTTGCAATAGCCGTACCGTTGTACCGTAATGCACACAGCTTCCATGGTCGCTCTCTGCACCTCTGAATTCTGAAGGCCCCTACATGTTACCAATAGCCTAATTTTATCAACAGGTTAACAGCATTAGTTAAAACTGCCACTTCCATTCTTACATAGCTGCCTTTCTGTATTATGAAGATTCTTTTCAGATGTAAAGTAAGGTAAAGAATGTAAAGCTATCTCTGTAACAGGTCGTACAGGCCCATGGGTTGTGAGACGTCGAGGCTCCCATATGTTCTAAATAATCGGCTCACAGTTGGCGGTAAGGCTATCAGCCTTACGTGTCGGCTGCCCTTTAACCTCATGAAGAAAACTGGTACTCATTTTTGAAAAAGGCTGAGTAATCCCAGGGTCATAGTGCGGACGGAAGGATTAGGTCAATTGAAAAAAATTAATGACCTCAACTGGAACCGAAAGCGCAACCTTCCGGCTAGTAGTATAGTGCCTCAACCAACTACGCTACCACGTGCCTTCTTTTCGGGTCTACACGTTATCTGAGTTCTTCACTCAGCATTCTACGCCAAAATTTGTATAAACACGTAGGCCATACTGACCTGTGCAGGACTGTCGGTTGTACGGAGTATAGGCTGCACGCTCATCTCAAAATCACTTGGCGCTGGGGTGTATGCACCTTTTTTACGTGTCAAAAATTCATTACTCTGGTTACTACTGCACTTGTTATGGCCACCACGATCACCATTAACTGCATTTCGATACTCCTGCCCAAGTTCATACACCTGTCGTGTCGTTATTATCGCCTTAGGAAAATAAATGTGCCAGCTCGTCGTGTCCTGCAATTGCATAACGTTCATACCAAATTTCATCAAAATACGTCAAATCGTTCTCGAATTACAAACTGCAGATGGGACAGACAGAAGGCCATGCAGAAGGACATTTATATGTTATTTCAAATAATCACTGTGCAGCAAACGTATAATAGAGTGAGAGTTACATACAACCAGAGTCGGCCGGCTAAATTCTGGGGCTCCCTGCAAGAACTCATAGGCCCCTTATATTGTTAAAATTTTCGAGGTCCTCTTCTCCTCACGCTCAATTTCAAATCTTTACGATGTGAAACAACACACGACGGCTACAATACTAAGTACAAACAGCTTTATATATATTTGCAGCATAGTTTTCGGTGTTGTAGAACACAAGAATTGGAGGCCTAGGGTTTGCAAAACAGGTCCGGTAGACCCTGCCTATAGTATCCTACGTAAACAATCATACAAAGAATTAAAATACAGCCTATTGAGCTAAACAGGTCTATTAAGCCTAGCCACTCAGTAAAGAATACTGGATATGTAAAAACAGGGTGGGCCAAGGTGGGCCACAAGTAAACAGTGAGAAATTCCGTAGTCAGCACGTACTTCACGCTCTTGTCCCGCTTCTCGCATTACAAAACATTCAAGATGCTACGCTGTTAGCATTTAAAGCTGTTTCTGAAGCCAAACAAGCAGCATTAGGCGTACAGAGCGGCTTGTGCCCCATCAGTAATTCTGGACGAACTGACAAGATTCCAACATGGCGATAATCTGACCGCATTACATTTAAGCAGAACGACTGAATCAGAAACTTGCATGATGATAAAAAAGTTTTAAAAATAAGACATTCTGCAAACATGCTGTGTGCTTTGTTCTAAAATACTCCCACGCCACCTTCGAAAACACAGCGAGAAACCAATTCTGACACCCATATGAAGTTACAAGGATTATAGGGTCTATGTATCGCTTTCTGCTGGCTCGGTAAAACTTCTGTCACTGCGAACAAAAAACTGGACGTATTATTTATTGAATACAGCCTACGCAATTTTTACATAAATTCAACCTAATTACAACTTAATACACAAATACATTTAAACGTTCAAAATGATGTGTACAATTTTAATCCTTCGAAGCCCAAAGTCCTTCCAAATAAGGTGACTCCCAAATAAGGGTTTTGCTTCCTGGGCCAAATCAGCTGTGTCTTATACAATTTTACTTGCAACTCATTCCTCGCTTTTCTTCTACAGCCCCGTTTTAAAAAAGTCGCCGTCTTTCACTGTTCGTTACAAGTGAAGTTTAGTGAATGGAGAAATTTCAACTGAGGTATTTCATCGCAGCAGGATTTTTTTGTTTAGCGCCATCTTCAGTGTATTAGAGGCTTCTAAACTTTAAAGGTGTGTTGTAGAACAGAGCTGCTAATACAGCCTGAAAAAAAAAGGGTGGAGGGGGCTGGATATTTTCAATCTTTCACTGAGTGAGTATTATTTACATATTTTGTTTTCTACTGGGAGTTTCGTGTTTTAGTATGTCACGTCAGTAAATAAAGGTAACGTGCCTTGCTACATTTGTGGCCAGGTAATTCTCGAATCTCAAAAGAGAACAAAAACGCCCGTCATAAAGAAGGCATATGTGCAAAACCGAAGCCCAGGCCAAACACTGGGCTCCTCGTATTTCTTGTTCGCCATGTGCTGAGAACCTCAGGGCCTGGCTGAATGCAGGACAGCTATGCCATATGTTGTATCTAAGGCTGCGACACTTTTGCTTCACTGATGTTCCTGGACGCACATCTAAAACCAAACGCTTTATCGTATATCCAGTGTTTCCACCAGCTTTGAGACCAGTGGCACTCCTGTACCTGAGGAAGCAGAGCCGCGGAACCTTGAGGACGATGCTGTGGTAGGTTTAGCTGATAAACAAGAAACACATGAAGATGATAATGGATCGTGATACAGAATATAAACTATTAAATCAAGAGAAATATGTTTAATAAACGAAGCTGGATTAAATGAACGTGGATGAAGCTTAAATCTGTCCATGAACCTCTTGGTGCCAGATTACAAACATGGATTCTTCCTGGCGGCAGGGGGGAAGAAACAAAGCGCTTCGTTTTATTAACTGTGAAAAGGATCTTGCAAGCTTCTTTTCCGTGAATGGTGATATCTCCTACTGAACCAATGCCGATGGACTGACAGGACATGCCTGAGGATTGGCGATTTTTCAGAGATTCTTCAAAGTTAAGAATGAAGGCTGTTCTTCACAATGAAGATGTTTTACCATCAGTCCCTTCGTGTCATGGTGTGCACATGAGAATATGAAACTTCTGCTCAGCTGTATGCAATGTAATAAACACCGTTGGTATGTCTGTGGGAGACTTTAGAGTCATAGCTCTTCAACTCAGCATGCAACTCGATTATACGGATTTTTGCTGTTTCTTAAGTGAATGGGAGGGTCGCGCAAGAAGTAATCACTCTGCTGTGACAGAATGGCCTCATTGCAAGCAATTTCTTCCTGCGAAAATAACACTGCAAATGATCCACTTGCAGACATACAGAAAATATACTCGTACTTACACATCAAGCTTGGGCTGATGAAAAATTCTATGGAGGCCATGAGCCGGAATGGTGAAGATTTTCGGCATCTGGCACGGAAATTCCACAGAGTCAGTGATGCCAAGATAAAAGAAGGGACCTTCGTCGGTCCCCAGATAAAGTGGGTTGTGAATGACAAGAATTCTGATAAAGTCCTAGAAGGAGCTAAGAAGAGAGGATGGAAAGCATTTATACTGGTTGTTGACAACTTCATGCGCAGACAGAGCGCCAAACTGGCTGCGCAAATGCTTGAAGCCCACAGAGAGACTGAATGCAAATATCATTTAATTAATACACATCATTCTCGCTTGGATTTCTTTCCAACAAACGTTGGAGCCGTGAGCGATGTGCGTGGTGAAAGGTTTCATGAAGAAATGTCTGCAGCGGACAGAAGCTACCAGAGGAAAAGGAATCGAACTGTGCTGGCGGTTTATAAGAAGCCCCGGACACATACATCAGATAATGAAGTGCGGTTTTATATTTTATATTTGTAATAGCGATATATTTAAAAATGGCTACAACTTGTTAGTGATTAAGTTTTACTTTTCCAAACATTTCCTATTACGCTTTCTGTCTCAACTATGCAACGTTACAGCAAATTCCCAAATATTAGAAACTGTACTTGCTTATGATTCCAAAATTCTCTTCTATATAATTTTTGCTGGCAGATTTGGAATCAGTAGCTCAAAATCTATAAAGGGCATCAAGTATCGTTCAGGAAAAGAAAAGAGATGTTAAAATGTGTATAATTAAAAGTTCAGTTCCTGCCTCACAAAAACACAATGAGACTCCGTTACAAAGATCCACCGCAGTGAAATAGCTACTGTTTATTTTAAGAATCATATAGAAGCACACAGATACACTCTCCAGGCAAAATGTATATGTTGAAGCGGGAGGTACATGCAACAGTTACCGTGTTCTGAAAGTCAGCAGTCATCGGCCTACCGATTTGCAGAGAAATATCCATCGTTCACGAAGATCTGCCCAGTGTGGCCATGCCATTTGTCAGCGGGTACTTACCTAAAACAAACAGAAAATAAGGAGCATTAATCTTTGGTTCTTAAACTCAGTTACAATTAAGCGAAAGCAGCAGAACACGTAAATGTGTCTGTTACGGAGGACAACACTTTGGTGTTCCGCAAACTGGACTGTTGCCGAGGTGCCTCAGAGAAACCTTTATTTTATATAAAAAAAACTCCGAAAAGAGGACGCCTTTTATATTGATTAACATGTTAGGAAATGTAATATTACAATAAGTGTACGTACAATTTTAAGCAGTGAAACAGTTGAACTGATGAGGATGCACTGACATGACAATCTGCGGGTGAGTCCATCATGCTGACATGAGCAAAACTGCATTTGCCATTGAATTCTAAATTTAGGTTAAGTATGGCAATACTAATGGATTGTAAATCTGTGCGCCGATCACAGTGGCCGCGCGGTCTAAGGCATGAACTGTCTTCGCCCTCTCGAAAACTTGGATACTGGGTTCGAATCCAACTCTAAGTATGGATGTCTGTGTGGGTTTATTGTGTGTCTGTGTTGTTGTGTGTGTAGGTGGGGGACTGATACCTCGTCTTTGGAGTCTTACGGACTGTCTCAGGTTAAAAAAATTGAAATTAAACAACGCGTTTCACGTATGCCCTATGCTTCAAACGAGAGCAACAAGAACAATAAGAAGAACTGTACAGTAGGAAAGTAGACTTATAAGTTCATATTGAGCTCCTTGTTTGTGTTCTACTCCGATTCGCGTCTAGTTGAAATGTTTCTGCTGATAAATCTTTAGTCACGAATGGGGGAGATGAGGAATGCGTATAGGATATTGGTGGGAAAGCCACAAGGAAGGAACTACTGGGAAGACCAAGGCGTAGACGGGTGGACAATATTAAAATGGATCTTAGAGCGATATGGTTGTATGGCATTGATTGGATTAATCTGGCTCGGGATAGGTACCAGTGGAGGGCTCTTGTGAACACGGTAATGAACCTTCGGGTTCCATAAAATGCTGGGAAATTCTTGAGTAGCTGCAGAATTGGCAGCTCCTCTAGAAGGGCTTAGCTACATGAGTGAGTGAGTAAGTAAGATAAAATTTTAGTATTTTTGTGTCATGTGTAAAATGTGGAGCATGCTGATATAAAATATATGCAATTTGAAATTTGTATCTGGCAACAGGTCTGCAAGGCGCTCTTTGTTTGAAACCGCCAATGCGAAGGAAACTGTACACTGAGCTAATGACGATTATAACTGAAAGTGTGAAATATTTTGGCAAAGGGACTGAATAACACTCTAAACCCTTCAGCTCGATCGTTAACTGAAACATCACCTGCATTCGTATTTACGAACAGCATTTTGCTGCAGTTAGGCGTCTAAGAAATCACAGCGATTATTTCCCCAAACAGCATTTGCAATGGAGACGCAGCATGTTTTCTGAGAAGTGGGAACTAAACGCGTACACACTCAGACCTGGAAGGATGAAGGATCTGTCGAACGTTGCATAAAATGCCGCTATTTCATTGCGCCTGCATGTCTCTCTGTGCAAGCGATGACGTTAGGAAGGGGACAGGGACTGTTCATGTGATGTGAGCTTCAGGGCTGCAGGAGATTTATGTATCCACTAAACAAATTGAGTTGTAATTTATTGGGGAAATTAAGAGGAGATTGAACTCGGGTAATGCTTGCTACCATTCAGTTCAGAACCTTCTGTCTTCTCGTCTGCTGTCTAAAAACATAAAAAGTAGAATACACAAAACTATAATTTTACCCGTGGTTCTGTATGGGTGTGAAACTTTGTCTCTGACATTAAGGGAGGAACATAGACTGAGGGTGTTTGAGAACAGGGTGTTGATGAGAATATTTGGGTGGAAGAGAGATGAAGTGACAGGAGGTTGGAGAAAACTGCATAATGAGGAGCTTCATAACATTTACTCTTCTCCAAGTATAACTAGAATGATCAAGTCAAGAGGGATGAGATAGGCAGGGCATGTAGCATGAATGGGTAGAGAGGAATGCATATAGGATCTTGATGGAAAAGCCAGAAGGAAAGAGCCCACTGGGAAGACCAAGATGTAGGTGGGTGAACAATAATAAAATGGATCTTAGAGATAGGATGGGATGGTATGGATTGGACTGATCTGGCTCAGGATAGGGGCCAATGGAGGGCTCTTGTGAACACGGTAATAAACATTCGGGTTCCATAAAATGCTGGGAAGTACTTGATTTGCTGCACAATTGGCGGTTTCTCAAGAAGGGCGCAGCTCCGTGAGTGAGAGAATTTATTTGGGGATGTTACTTCAGCTGCTTAGTTTAATCTGTTTTAACTTTTGGCTCTTCGCTAATCATTACTAGGATGAACAAATCAAGGATAATAAAACAGGCGCGGAATACAGCATACATGTCCAGAGATATGTTGGGAATGTTTGGTCGGAAAGCCGTAGGAAAGAAACTGCTTTGAAGACCTACGGATATACTGGAGGATAATACGATAATGGAACTTAAAGAAAGCAAAAGGTTGAGTGCTGGACTGGATTCATTTGCCTCGGGATGGTGTAGAGTGATGGACATCTGTAAGCACGGCATCAAACTGTTGGGTTTCATAAATTGCGAGGGGGATTTTCGAAATTGCTGAGTGACTAATAACTTCTAAATAAAGACTGTACATCATGCAGAATTAGTCAGAACCTATTTAGTTAACTGGTCGAACAGTGCGACGATCTTAATTGGTGTTATACGGAGAAATCGTGGCATATTTGCAGGAAGTGTCCAAACCTTCCTGCATGGACGGAGTGAAACCACAGGAAACCAGAACAGACCGTCTTCTGACCGACATCCGAAACAATATCATCCGGAATATAAAACTGGAAACGCTTGTTAGAAATGAGACAGGATTTGGAAACAGAGTTCGCTACTGACGTGTCTCTTTGGAAACATATGTTTCCAATTAGCAAATTCTCCTCCTGCTTAGGGCGCTGAAAGGCTTCGCCCAGCTTGACAGGAGACCGGGTGCTTCGCATTGTATGTTTCAACTTCATCACTAAAACAACAGGGTGGATTATAAGACAAAAGCACAATACCAGTGAGTGCAAACCAGGGCTAGCCAGTGCAGTGAGACAAAAAAAAAGAGCAAATTGTCACGTGTCACAGTGACTAAAGAAGCGGGTCGGATTGTTAATTGGATTTATTAACTACTTACAGGTCGTAACTACAAATAATTATAACACTATTGCTGATTTTCACACTACAAAGCACTCCACGCTAATCTCTTCAGTCTATCTGCACTAGTCTTCGAGGATTTATAACACAGGAACTACAGAATTCTCACTAAATCACATAATCCCAGTATTACCGTGCTACAACAGACATCAAGTCCTCAAGTCGCACGTTAAATTTTCACAGGTTGACTTCCTGTATCATTCTGTACTCCTCAAGCTTAACGCTTGCTTGCTGTACTCCAGCTTATTGCTATACTCCGGCCCCTTACTTACTCACTGACTTCTCACTACTTCACCTTACAACTGCCTGCAAACGACCTTCGTTGTCCCCTAGAAATCTTCGGCGCAAACCTACACAAAACACGCCGGCCGCGCCATAGCTCAAGTGGTTAGTCGCTGGC